AGAGAAAACTTTGCTGGGTATAGCAGTTTAATTGGCAATTATTTACTTCTAGGATTTGAAATACATCATTCCATGCTTTCCTGGCTTTTAGGATTGCTGATGAAAGCTCTCATGTCATTCTTATGTTTCTGCCTTTGTATGTGAGTTAGTGTTTTTCTCTTACAGCTTTTAGTATTATTTAGCATATTTTCTTCATGACTGTGATGTCATGGAGAGGTTCTCTTATGGTCACATCTATTTGGAGTTCTTGTGTTTGGGCATTCATTTCTTTCTCTGGGTTTGGAAAATTCTCTCTAATTTCATTGAATACATTTTTTTATGCCTTTTGACTTTATCCCATCTCTCTCTATCCTTTGGATTCTTTGGTTTGGTCTTTGATATGTATCCTAGACTTCTTGGAAGTTTTGGTCATGTTCTTTAATTATTTTTCTTTATATACATGTGAATGTATTATTGTCTTGACTTTGTCCTCTATCCTTGAAATTCATTCTTCTTGATCATATCTGTGGTGATGCTTTTCTGCTATGTGTTTTGACTGAATGATACTTTGATTTCTAAAATTGTTTGGTTCTTTTCAGTGTCCTTGATGAATTTTTACCTGACTTTTTTCAATTGCTCTTCCCAAGTTACTGCCTGTTTTATTCACTTCAGAATTGATTTCCTCACTTTGTTAGTCTGCCAATTTGAGTCCCATTGTTCCATTTTAAAAGTAGGACTGACTGCTTTCCCCAGCCTTTCTGCTGTCTGCATGTCTGTGGTTTCTATCACTGGGGAGTTGAGATGACAGATGTGGTGTGGGGTTCTTGTCTCAAGAGCCTTCGTGTTTCTTTGTTGTGCTTTGTGCATGTCTTGGGATGGATGTGTCTTCCAGTTTTAACTTTTCCCCTTTTACCAATGTTTTGTTTTGAATCCTCCTGGAGGATTACAAATTATGTGTCCTGCTGTTGACTCAGAGGCATAGGGAAACCATATACAACAGTTTCAACTTCCATTCAATGGAGTTATTGTTACAGCATTTGCTGGAAGCATTCCTCCTCCTGTCTGAACATAAGACTGCTATTAGACCTAGTATCAGGCTGCTGTCAAGATTCTGGAAAAGAAAGTTAATGGGAGGGAATCAGCTTTACTGAAGGATGGGACCCCACCCCAAAGATGGAGGGGCCATCATCCTCAAAGACCCATCTTAGGGAACTCAGGCACAAATGGCTTTTACAGGGAGGGAAAGGAGATGCAGTATGATAATGGAGAGAAGGGATGAATGCTGAGAGAGAGAGCTAGTCCTGTGTCTGTCTTTATTCTCTGGTTGCAGTGTTAAATCTACCGCAACCTCCTAGGTTAGTTCTTATATTTTATTAAAACAGATATATTGCTTTTCTATAGCTTGAACCTCAAAGCAATTTGCATGGTTTATGTTAGCTAATACACCCAACTAAAGACTAAGAAGGAGCTGTATTAGTTACTTTTCTTGTAGTTATGACAAAATACTTGACAAAAGCAACAGAAGAGTTTGTTTTGGCTCACAGTTTGAGAGTTACAGTCCATCATGGAAGGGCAGGCATGGTGGCAGGAGTAAGAAGCATTGCATTAACAGTTGGGGACAAGGAAAGGTTAGTGCTGTGGTACATTTGCTTTCTCCTTTTTATACAGTCCATGTTGACATCTGCCCTTGGAATGATCTCACCCAATTGAGGTGCCACCTCAACCTAATCTAGGTAGTTGCACCTGTGAACATGAGATTCTGAGTAGAGGCCAGTCCCAGAAATACGAAGCTCAATAGAATGGTGAGCAGAAACACCTTATTTGAATGGGGAGCTGATGTGTCAAAATGAGGAAATAGTATCATAGAGAACTCAAGTTTTCCTGTGAAAGAGAGCATAGCAATGGGAGAAGTAGTGTGGGAGATAAGTGCAGACAAGAGAGGGGCTAGGGGAATACCTGGGAAATGTTTTACCAAAACTTCTTCTTAAATTAAAATTTAATTATGTGTGTTTTTATAATATTTATTATTTTTATTTTGTGTATATGCATGTATTGTGTTAATTATAGAGAATAATGGATTAAACTATGACATCTTAATACATATACTTTTGTCATATTCACCTCCCATCACCCTCTCTTGTCCCCTTTTCCTCTACTACTAGTTCCCTTCCTTTTTCCAAATAACCTCCCTCCCACTTTCATATCTTTTTTCCCCTTTACAAAAATCTAGATTCTGCATATGAGAGAAAATATGTATTTGTCTTTCAGAATCTTATTTCACCTAACATATAGATCTCAAGTTCCACTCATTTTCCTCTAAACACTAATTTTGTCTTAACGAGATTCCATTATGCATATATACTGTAGTTTCTTTATCCACTCACCCATTGATGGGCACATAGGCCTGTTGTGAATAGCTGCACTATAAGCATAAATGTCAGATGTCTCTGTGGTGAATTAGATTCCATTGAGTATCTATGGTGATATAGCTAGGTCATATAGTAGTTCTCGTTTCTTAATTTTTTGAGGTACTAATTTCCATTGTAGTTGTGCCAGTTTACATTTCTGCCAGTCCACATAATTCCTTATGTTTTTTGGTTGGTTGGTTTTTGTGATGCTGGAAATTGAACTTAGGGCCTTATAAGCAAGCTCTATAGCACTGAACTATATTACCAGTCCTTTAAAGGACTTTTAAATAAGAAATAATGGAGGAGTAAGAATGCTGGTGCAGGTGATTGATTAGAAAGGGGATACTTGGGGCTGGAGAGATGGCTTAGCGGTTAAGAACACTGGTTGTTCTTGCAGAAGACTCAGGTTTGAATCCCATGGCAGCTAACAACTGTCCATAACTCCAGTTCCAGGGGATCCAACAGACTCTTCTGTCCTCCATGGGCATTTCATGACACGGTGCACATAAAATAAAAATACTAAATATTTTTTTAAAAAGAAAGGGGATGCTTGCCAGATGTGGTGATGCACACCTCTAATCCCATCACTCAGGAGACAGAGGCAGGTGGAGCTCTGTGAGTTTGAGGCCAGCCTGGTCTACATAGTGATTTCCAGGCCTGCCAGAGGTACATACATAGTAAGACCCTGTCTCCAAAAGAAAGGAAGGAAGGAAAGAACAAAAGGAGAAAAGAGAAAGAGGGAGAGAGAGGTGGAGAGAGAGAGAGAGAGAGAGAGAGAGAGAGAGAGAGAGAGAATAAAGTCCTTGAGAGTATGAAGTTGATAGGATCTGGAGTAAACACGATGGGCTGGCTTTTATTAAAACAGATACTTCAGCTGGGCATACTGGCGCATGCCTTTAGTCCCAACAAGTGGGAGGCAGAGGCAGGCCTCTGTGAGTTCAAGACCAGCCTGGTATACATAGTGAGTTCTAGGCCAACTGGGGCTACAGGGAGACCCTGCCTCAAAAACACCAAAAACAAACAAACAAAAACCCAGATACTTCATGCAAAGTTACAGTAGAGAAGACAGAAAAATGATACATGCAAAGATTAATTCATCAGATTGAGCATCTGCTGCTGCACTGCACCCTGAGGTACACCACTGCACATCAAGACTGCCTTCGTGAAATGACTACAAGTATTCCCGCTCTTGTTTTTGATTCTCATTGAATCCTGAATTGAAGGTCTTCCTGAAAGAGAGGCGTTGGAAGAGGGAATAGTTGGAATTTTAGGAGAAAGAAAAGCCAACATAAAATGTGGTGTGATTTCTGGATAGTGATAAGTGGCACCTGAGAATTGTGACTGTGTGTTTAAAAGTGAGACTAGTAAAGCTTGCATCTGTTTTCTTCAGGACTGAGCTGCTGGGCAGACACAGTATAAACTGATGCTAGCTTTAACCAGAGTTTGAATTAAGGCTTTTCTAGGTATGCTTGACCCCCAAAGGTGCGAAAGAGTTAAGATTCTTCACCAGGGTGATTGTAATGAAAGACCATTGAATTTGAGCTAAGTGAGAAGAGAATTGAATACCTCATGAATGATTGATGGTGGAGAAGTGGTTGAGTTGGAAATGAATCTAGATAATGAAGAAAAATAATTTTATATAAGTAATGTGTCCTCCTTAGAGAACATGTACTTGAAAACATAAAATTAGAGAAATTGAAAGTGAGGAGGCCTCAGTACTATGTTACCATGCAAAGATAATAATTGTGTTTGCTGTGCCTACTACAACCCTTTTTTCTAATGTTAATTTGGGGGATTCTGTTTGTTTTTTAGGGTAGACATAACAAAGACCACAAACTTAGTTGTTGAAACAATAGAAATTTATTTTGTGACAGTTCTGGAAGATGAAAAATCCAAGTTCAAGGTGTTGGCGGTGTTACTTTTCTCAGCGGCTTTTTGTCCTTGGTATACAGAGGGTCATCTGCTCCCTCTGTCTTTATATCACCTTTTGGCTCTGGCTCTGGCTGTTTCTAAATTTCCTCTTTTTTTAAAGTTCTGGAGTTTGGACCCAGGGTCTCCTGAGTGCTAAGCAAGTGCTCTATCACTAAGTCACGCCCTTAGCCAAGTTCTTGTTTCAAAGTTACCAATCATATTGGATTAGGGACAACTTAATAACCAAATACAGTCACACTCTGAGGGACTTAATATGAAGTTTTGAATGGTACAGTTTTCCCACAGGGATGCTGCTTATGTTTAGTTTTTTACATAGTTGTGATTATTCCATGAATATAATTCATATTTGCACATTTTACCTAGTAATCTCATAATTTAACATTTCTCCCTGTTTTTTAGCCTTTGAAAAAATTTAACAGCTGCATAATACTTTGCCAAGTGATTATACAACCGAATCTTAGTCAACGTCTGTTTTGAAGGTTTTGGGTGTTCCCGCTCATCTTTTTCTGTTATTAGAAACAATACTAAAACTTTTAAAAGAATGCTTTTTTCTGTATTTGGGTTATTTCCTTAGAAAAAAAGCTCAGAAGTGAATTTCTTTATTAAGTACTATTCTGGCAGACTGCCACAAGTATTAAATCTTGTGTTTTCTTTTCTTATGACTTTTCTCTCTTTCTGCAGTAATAGACTGGAATGATATGAGAAAACACAAATATGGTCACCTGTCAGTGTCTGCATCTCAGTATCACGGTAAGAAAAACTATTTTAACATGAAAAATTCTATTTGGTATCTCTTGCCATAATATATTTGTTCTTAGAGGTCTGTATTTACAATTAATTCATTAAATAAAAACTAATATTGTCATTTATAGAGGTATCTGTCAATAGCAATGTATTTTGTTTTGAGCTGAAAATCAGGAAACCTAGATTCTGATTATCAAGAATCCCAAATTAGTTCCAAAGCTGTGGGCATAGTTGTTCAGCCTCTGCATTTCCATGGTTTTTACTTACTTAAGCTCAGGAAGAAGGCAAAATTGAGCAGTATACTTCTACGATTACTAACAATTCTGTTTTTTAAAAATGAGATAATTGGGGCTGGAGAGATGGCTCAGCAGTTAAGAACACCTGTAGAAGACCTGGGTTTGAATCCCAGCACCCACATGGCAGCTAACAACTGTCCGTAACTCCAGTTCCAGGGGATCCGACCACCTCTTTTGTTCGTGGGAATTGCACGACACGGGTACACTCACCTACATGCAGGCAATACATGCATACACATAAAAAATAAATAAAATATTTTTTAAATGAGATAATTGGACTACACAAACAGAACTTCACCTTTCTGTCATTCTGTTATGTTTGTCATAATGACCTATGTTTTTGTTTCTTTAATAGAAACTGCTGACATCCTGGAGCTAGGTAAGACTTTTTTTTCTTGTTCTGTTAAATAAGGGGAATTACTAAACCAGGGGTTTGATTGTAAGTAGTTTTAATCCACTAGGAAAAGAACTCCATGTGTCTTTGTTTTATAATACAGGGAACCCTGTGCTCTGGTCTGCCTGATTGCCTGTGTAATTCGTCTCAGCTGTCCCATCAAGTCCTACTTCTCAGGAGCCCATAGACCAACCTAACAGAAAGGGAAGGGGTATGGTTAATTATATAGGGTACAGGCAAGAAAGGAAACTGAACCAAACTGAACGTAACTTCTTAATTCACCAAGTCCAAAACTAAAACAAATCCCCATTGCTCATAAGACAACACTTGATGATATTTTCTCAGGTAAAGTTATTTGTAAGATACATTGAACTGAAATTAAATGTAAAGGTATCCTAAATTTATAAACTACATAAAAACTGAGATATTTTCAAGTAACAAGTCAGACTGGTACTGCATTTGGATTTCCTAGTGTACTTCAGGACAAGGATTTGAGGAATGAAACTAACCTTTCTCAATCAGCCATCAGATTTCTACATAAACATCAGTCAGTGTCTGGAGTCTATATTAACATAAATGTTGATATCCTCATATCGTTCTCAATTTTTGCTAAATATTTTGATGTATTTGTTTTTATAATTCCATGTTCCCGCTGTGTTATAGTCACCATCTACTTCCTTCCTCTTGCCTTTTCTTCCTATCCTTTCTGTCAGTCCCGATTCAGAAAGTAAAATAGAAAACTAGACTAGGAGTCAGACAATTCCTGGGTCATTGAGAGCTTGCTCTGTCACTTAGCCACTTTGTAAACTCTGATCCTTAGTTTTCTGATTAGTAAAATGAGAATCATAATCTCCACCTGCCTATTTCACAAGGTGGGAAGATTACATGAGTTATCGAATGTGAAAACATCATAAAAGCTCACATATACTTTTAAACTGTTAAGAATTTTTTATAATTCTGCTCAGCATCTATACTTAGACTTTATATTAAGTCAAATCTGATATTCTTTGAAGTGAAGCATGAATGTGAGCTGGGCAAATTGTTGAGGTGAAATAATGAAGGTAAAAACACCTGAGGCTTGATAAACAAATGATAGTTATTACTTTTATTCTCTAAAAATTTCTCAAGCAAGCCAGGTGTGGTAGCACATGCCTTTAATCCCAGCACTCAGGAGGCAGAAGCAGGGGGATCTCTGTGAGATGGAGGCCAGCCTGGTTTACATAGCAAGTTCCACACCAGCTGGGGCTACAGGAAGACCCTGTCTGAATAAAAAAATTTTTTCCTCAAGCTTTCTAAGGTGCTAATGTATAAGTGGGAAAGCATGGGCATTAGAGTCAGACAGAATTGGTTCAATTCTTACTCCCTCTTCATCAGTTTTATAACTTCAGGCAAATTAACATGACCTATTTCCTCATCTTTAAAATGAACATGAAACTTACTTGACAGGTTGTAATGAACATGAGAGATACAGAGCCAATCTAACATGATCAGGCAAAGGGAAGACAGTTGTATCTGCTGCTGATCTTTGTGTTGTTGCTAATATGAATCATAACAACAGTTGTAGTTCAGTGATAGCCTTAGGCATAGTGTAAACAATTGATTTGTTGACAGGAAGTTTTGGAACTTATTTTACAAGAAGAATATCAGTGAGCAAGGGAGTTAAAAATTTGAAAGTACAGTTTTCCTCAGGAGCATAACTGGTAGCAGAGATACATCCTCTGATATGTTAAGGCTAACATACTTTATTTTACCCATTGAGAATAGAGAGTAGAAGACTTCTGGAACTTTCATTCTGGACCTTAAAATAATTGTGTTGGAGGGCTGGAGCTATAGCTCAGTGGTAGAGTATTTGCCTAGCAAGCTCAAGGCACTGGGTTTGATAAAAACAGTACTAATTATCACTACTTGTTTTGGCCTAGCATTTCAAAATTTGACATTTAAAATATTTTATCAAATATTTTGTCTTGAATACCTCAGATTGCTAGAAACTTAACAGCCTCTTCAGGAAAATAGACATCTATTGAGCCAAATGTGTTTCTTTGTAATTTATGTTAACCACATTCTAACTTTCATGGCCACATGGAAAAGTCAGTCCTCTGGTTATTGGAAAACAGTTCTGGGGACTGCCTTCTCCTTGCTGCTCTGCCATTTTCCTAGCTCCAGTCACTAGAACCTTCCTAATTCCACACCTAGAATTTTGGCATAGCTTCCTACCTAGTCTTCCAGCCTCTAGCTTTATTCCTCCCAGTATATTTTTAACACTGTACCAAAATGATCGCACCCTAAATCCATCAACGTTCTGCTTCTTGCTAGCATAGTATACTAGTTACTTATCTTGCTGCTGCAGCGAAACAAGTGACAAAAGCAGCTTAAGAGTTTTTTTGGTTTGCAGTTTCTGGGTACAGGACAAGGTAATCATAGTGACAGGGTCTTGAGGCAGCTTGGTCACACTGTACCTGCAGTCAGGAGGCAAAGGAGCCTGTGCTCAGCTACTTTTCTCATTTTATGCAGTCTGGAACCCCAGCCCAGGAATGGTGACACACATCTAAACTGGGTCTTCCCACTTCAACTAGCCTAGTCTAGATACTCCTTTACAGACATGCACAGAGGCCTGTTTCCATGGTGATTCTAGATCCTATCAGATTGACAATCAATATTAGCCATCACATATGATGTAGAGGGTGTTCTGATACCTAAATACTGCCTCTCTCTATAACCCTCTTTTTAAACTTTTTCTTGAACCCCACCCAACAGCTGTGCCAAAAAAACCCAATTTTTTAAAACAACTTTTTTTACAGCTTGAAGACTTTGTACATGATTTTCTTTCTGTCTGAAATAGTTTGCTTTCTCATCGACACCTGATTATCCTTTTATACTTAGGAGTCTGAAACTTACTTCCTCTGGAAAGCCTGCCATATACTCTCCAGGTGCTGCATAGCACTGTTAAGTTTCGAGAATCGAGAATAATTCCCACAGATACCCAAAAAGATTATACAAAAAGTTTATTCAAGAATTTAAAGTAAAAAAAAGACAACAACCAAATGGCAGCTAGCTGGGCACAGACTTCACAAGCCAAAGATGGAGTCTGGCCCCGAACAATAGCAGACAAGAGCTTTTATTGGGGCACTCCACAGAAACCCACACATGCCAAGCATCTTTTTAAAATAATTGGATGTCCCCATATCCTGTGTACGGGGGAAGTCTTGATTGGTAGGGGCTGTCTTCAGGGCATTGGAATGTACTGACTAATATCTTTTAGAGCCAGAAGTTTTTGTTCATACCTTATAAGGCTTTTACATGTACAATGTGTCTGAGCTTGTCTGGGCTTGTCTAAAGAAGCTGGCCAAAATGGAGTCAGAGCACTCTAGCTCTTCAGCACCCTCTGTACCCCTTACCACACCATTCAGCAGTGAACCATTTAGTTTCTGTCCCTCACTAGACTGAAGCTCATGAGAACAAGGACAATATTTTGACCATGGTTGTATCTTCAGCACCCAGAGCCATACAGTAAATAATCATTAGATGAATGGTTGAGGAAATGGTTCTGAGGTTTTGCTTTCTTATTCATGCTTAATGATTTTCTTTTAATGATTGATCTTCTGGTGACATCTTTTGCATCTCTTTAGCACAAGGTCACCATTTTGATTCTGATGTATATATCTAGAGTCTGTCAGACCAAACTTAAAGTCTTGCATGTGATGTTACTAGTCTAGAACAGAGATAGGATGTGTGTGTTTCTTTTTTCCTTTCATTCATTCTAAAACTTTTTTATTGAGCCTCTATTGAGTTTCAGACACTATGTTAAACAGTGATGATTGAAAGGGAATAAAAAATCCTATCCATTAAGAGATTAAATAGCTTGTTACAGTGACAAGATGTGGTGAGTATGAAAGGTATAAATAGCATGTTGTGGGAGACAGGAGAAGTCAGAAGGTTTTTCAGAGAAAAGTGTATTTTTTTTCTGAGTATTAGTCATTAGATAGGGGTGAGATGGGCAAAGATAGAAGGCCAAGCAAAAGATCTAAAAGTTTGAGAAGATTCTTTGGACATGCTCTAGCTTGAATATCATGATTCTGAGCCTGGGAAGCTCCTAAACTCAAACCTTTCTCAGTTTAGGATACCTTCTGGATTCTCCAGAAAGCCTCTCATTTTCTCCCCCATCTAAGCTTCTCCTCCATGTTGCCTGAAAAGAACACTAATTTTGCTCTAGATGCTTTATTTCTATTAAATAAAAATACCACTAGTGACTTTTCTTTTTCATTTTTTTTCTTTTTCAATGAAGAAACCATATAAAAGTGTGACTCCAACAGCAAAAACTGCTTTTAGTGTTACTTTGTTGTTATGTGATTGCTTGTTTGGTTTTTGCTTTACCCAACCTTCTACTTCAACCTTGACACATTCAATGAAAGACTATACATTTAAATCAATCATACTCTTCTGTTCATAAATTTTTTTAAAACCCCAAGCCAGATGGTAGAATGTATGTTAATGAGCCATTGCATTGATACTAGGTTCTGAGCTTCTACTTGAAACTTCCAGAGTAGTTGATAAGCTCTTTGCTTTTAACTAAGAGTTTGCCTCATTGTATATTTAAAACAGTAGTATACTTAAAGCATAGCATAATTCAGTTCCTGTTTTTTGTTTTCAGAAAAATTTTTGGCTTGATGTTTCAGCTTTAGATGATCCATTAAATATATCAGGCTAGTAATTTTAAAGATCTTGAATGATGTTTTGAGAGTGAACCATTTAAGACATTTTAGAATAGCTGGGTTTCATTAGAGCCATATACTATACTATTAGCATATTCTATAGTATATGCTAATACTATGATGTACTAATCACCTGAAAAATTCCAGGAAAATGTAGTGTTGAGATCATGATTTATGAAAAGAGCTTGCTCCAGAAGATATTTAAATTGATTATGAAATTACACAAAACAGAGTGTACCTGGTGCTGGGATAAAGAGACTAATGAGAGAAACAGAT